AAAAAGTGCGTCTGCCGGGAATCGAACCCGGGTCACCTCGATGGCAACGAGGTATTCTACCACTAGACCACAAACGCTTGCGACGAACTGAGACACAGACACACTATTCTCTCCACAGCTAATCTAGTTGTACCTGAATCGCTTCCTTTTCTCATAATTGGTGTTCCCAAGCTGCTCGCTTGGTTCAGAATGGTTTCTTTAGCAAATAAATGCACCACAAATGCGTCTGCGGGGAACCAAACCCGGGTCACCTCGATGGCAACGAGGTATTCTACCACTAGACCGCAAACGCAGAGGCATGCGGCTAAAAGGGAAATAGCCGATATGGCGACACCGGAACAACTAATTTGTCCTGAAAACCGAATGGAGAATGCCTGAAGTGCAGTAGAAAAAAAGGAAGAAGTTTTTTAAAAAAGTGCGTCTGCCGGGAATCGAACCCGGGTCACCTCGATGGCAACGAGGTATTCTACCACTAGACCACAAACGCTCAGTACGTAGCGCCAGACACTTTGAGTACACCTTACTAAAGTAACGCTTTACTTTCTCTCGTTTTATCTTAAAGATATCGCGCACAGCTGCAACACCCGTAACTCTCCTCTTTTTCTATGGTAGCAACTGTTCTTGAGGCGACGACCTGAGCGGCTTATACGCATCCAGGCAGGTTGGTCTTTAAGCCCCAATCTTAATATTAGGTATGTTGTGGACTACATATGGGATGTATTATATCTGCTGTGCATTATATGTTGATTATGTATTATTGCAAATGTTTTGCATTGTATTTGTGTTGTGTGCTGCATTTGCTGTATACTGTGCAGTGAGTGGCCTAGATCTACAGGGGAAATACCTGCTTTGAATTGGCGGCCATCGCACAGCATATCCTCTACATATATATATATATATATATGTATGAAAATATATATAATATATATGAATATATATATATATATATGTATCTATATATCTGCATAGCTTCCCATCTCTGCACAACACCAACACGAAATGCATGCACTTCAACTCGAAAGTGCAGAAGACAAAGTCTTTGCATATCTTCCTTCGCCCAGATGAACACGCCAATCTATTGAAATACTGCAACGAGTTGAAGCCCCGTGGTGATATCTTCTAGCACTTCAGGTGCTGCTTAGAGTGTTTGGTGTTGTTGTGTGTCTCTTCAGTTAACGAGGAGACTTTCATAAGTTGTTTTAGAGTTAAGAATATGTTAGAGCTGCCAACTAGCCCATCGCGTTGTGCTGCCTTCTGCATGATCTATCTGAAGCAATCCTCTCCTGTTATGCTTCTGCTTTTTAAACACTTCTTTATAGGGTTGTGCACGAACGCACTTGCAGTTTGAGGCTGATTGCCGCTGTAGTCTGAGCTCTGCGCCGCCTATATCTGTTCATCTACAGCTGCAAAGCCTGTGTACAGAAAAGAAATAATTTTTGAAATTATTCCTTTGATTATTCAAAGACCTGATGGAGACTAAACAGAAAACTCACAGCTATTGATAGCTCTAATTAGGTAAAAGGTAACGCGCAAGAACAGCAGATGGAGAAAGTAAGGTCAGTAAGCCCTTGGGGCTTCCTTTCGACTGTCTCTACTGTTCTCTACTTCATAAAGAAGTAAAGCAAGCAGGGAAAAGGCATATAAAGTGTTTCAGAGACAGACAAACAGCGACGGAGACCCAGGAGTGATCAGGGAGTCTGACAATATTCAAGGGAAAGCAAAGCAAACCAACACCCAATGGGGAAGGGAAGAGTTGCTGCTACCCTGATACATCCAGCAGCAGCAAGAACAACAGCAGTAAAGGCAGCAGCAGCAGCAAAGAAGCGTATAGAAAAGAGTAACAAAGCATCAGTCTCCGTGCGCTAAATTAGCCTCTCAATGCATTCTGTCTTCATTCGAAATGCAGTTTGAAAGAAAAAGGAATATTTAATTTGTTGTATTGTATTGTTATAGCAGATAAAAAGACAGCCACAAAGACAGAAGGAGCCGGAACAGCCAACTGCACAGTACTACTCAATAACAAAGATGAAGTCGCGCTGCCATTTGCATGCACATACGCCACACGCTAGCCTCTACCAGCTTCTACAAAATAAATATGCATATATGTACATATATATATATATATATAT